AGCAGGGATGTGCCATCGCACCCCAGCCTGCAGTGCTTGACACGTTGGGGAGCTGAGCACAGAGACAGAGGCTTTGCCAGAGCTGGCCTGGGCCTGGCAGGGCTGGTGCAGCGTGTGCCGGGACTCAGCTGCCTCCCTGCACAGCACTCGCTGCAGTGTCCTCTTGACGGGCTCTCGGTCTCTCGAAGCAGTCCAGTCACCACGGCCCTGGACAGACAAATGCGCTAATGCAACATCGCTCTCAAGGATCGGAGAAAGCCTGGTAACCTGTTGGGCTTGGATAGCCACACCAAGCTGTGTGCCAACATGAAACAACATACCTGATTAAACATACAGCTTTGATTTCAGCAAAGCCCTTGTTTCACTGCCAGAGCCAGGCCCCCATTTCTCCAAGGTGCTTCATTTCTTCCAGCTCAAGTGGTCAGGTTAGAAGAATCCTGCTGCAGTACAGAGCCAATTGAGGAGTACTGTACAGAGTTATGTGAGGCCGACAAGGTTTCTGATTCGTACTGATAGGGTCCTGATAGTTTGTTCTGTGTAAGTGAGATTTCCAAGATGGAGCTCTTATATAACTAGAGATGACTTTGTTGAGGGAAGTTTTGGTCCTCCCACTTTCCCAAGCTGTCCTTTCAGAAAGCGTTGCAAGGTGTCCTTCAGCTGGAAAGACAGAGCCGACTTTGTAACAGGGATTCTGAAGCCACAGCATGTTTTGGACAATCAAGAAACAGGGATATTGGCTCTATCAGAGAATACCCTTGGAAAGACATGCATTTAAGCGTGAATCCGTGCGTTTTCCTTCTCCTGCTCCTCGCTCCCTTTTTCCAAATCACAGACAGCAGAAAGCCAGAAAGCACAAGCACTTCCAGGGGCAGAAGGAGGTGTGATGGACTGGGACCCAGCCTGGGTTGTGTTACAGCAGGACAAGAAAGCCCTGAGTGTTAATGATGAAAACCAGAGAAGTTCCAATTAGCATTCACATTCCTCTGCTTGTGGACCAGCTATTCTAGAATGTTTCTTCCCCCCCTCTCCCTGGCTATAGAGCTATAGACTGCTTTGGGGCACTGCAGCACTGGCTTAGACGCTTCCCATCATGCCACTGGAGTTAGTATTCCCTGCAACACAGGCAACTATTTGCAGTAGGAGCTTCTTCTCAGTGAAAGGTGTTTGTTCACACTCCTTCATAGTTACTCCTGTGTGCCGCACAGTGAGTGTTTCTTATTTTTCTCTTTCGTGTGAATGCAAATGTATTCCAAGGACTGGGCATATGAGCTGGTGACTCCTGGGACTGCCATTTGAAATTGGATTTGTCTCACCTGCAGTTCAGACATTTAAAGTTGGAGTTCATTATCTAGTCTTACTTTATGGGCAGCAGAGAGAAACAAGAATTCCTGAGACACAGTGCATCTCTGTCTCAGGTAAACAAGTGCCACAAAGCAGATGTATCACCCTCTGGGTGTGTGTTTCCATCCAGTGACTCTAATGATGTAGTCTAGATCCCAAGGCCCAAAGCAGGTGAGCTGACTCCACCCTCGCATAAAGCAGATGTTGCCTCTACCTGAGCGGGAGGTGAGTGTCGGCTCAGTTGTGATCCTGCTCTCTAGCCAGTGCTGGGCAATAGAGGGCAATCCCAAATGGACACTGAGCTGCTGGCCTCTCTGAGCTCTGCACTGGGAAAATCCGTGCACTACAAGGGCAGATGCACCCCGGTGTCAATACAGAGGCAGGACTCTCCTCCTCCGCTTTGTGCTTCAGCACTGGGTCCTACACTTATCGGTGGGTTATGTGATGGGTGGTGACCCAGCGGTGAAGGACGACCCATGAGCCAAGATGTACACACACTCTGCACAGAGCTGCCATTTCTCAGCTGCCACCAAATGTGTAAGTGATTAGTGCATGAGAGGAGGCAGCGGGGCCAAACAGCAGAAGAAAACACACAGATTTATTCCTGGTTTTTGGAGGTGCACCAAAGAATAAAGGCTTTCTGCCTTAGCCTGACTAGAATAGATCCCAACCATCATAGAAGAAGCTCCATATCCATTCACCTTTTCCCTAAACTATCCGTTCCCTCAGGCTCTTCGCCCTCTGCTTTTAATATATTATAGGAAGAAAGGCACTTCCTAAACCTGACAGGATTTCTCCCTGTCCCTGGCTGGAGTTCCCTGGGTTACAGGAGCGCTGGAGCTCTTTGAAAAACACATATAGGTGGGAGAGGAAAAGTCATTAGCACAGTAAAACTGTGGTGATACAAAAGAGCCATTCAGAGATCCTTCTGCAAACGGCTGCTCCAGCTTCATTAAAAGCATAGCCCGTGGCTGTCACTCAGATAGGCTGGATTTGCTTTCGGTTATCTAAATGAGAATGATCATTTCTGCAGTGAAAAAAAAAGAAGAAACCAGTAGGAATTATTCTTTATGAATTATGTGCTCAGCTTTCGTACTGACCTATTGAGTCAGCATTGAGTGTTGGATTTCCTGGAACAGCCTTTCATGCTGGATTTGGGGTATTTTCTTCTTTTCAGCCCAGAAATAGCGGTAGAATGGCCTTTCTCATACTTAAGTGACACTTGGACTCTAGCTGCATCTTGGATGCAGTGGAAATAATGGAGTTTAGGAGCAGTTATCCAAATCATTCATCCTTGTGGTTTCCAGCATTCTTCTGTGGCTCCCTCCTGGTCTGGACTGAGCATGTCGGCATCTCTAAATGTGTGTGACCTCGTGGCATCCTGATTACGTGGGGAAGTGTTAATATCTGGTGTGGAAACAGGCATTCAAATTGAACAGCTAGCTCTGACACCAGAGTGATGAGCCAATTTAGGCAGCTAAACTGACAAACAATGATTCCTTTCCTTTATAACAGAAGTCTTCTGCCTTTTTAGCTGTTTCAGCTGGCTCACAATGGGATCAAAGGAGGCTAATCCCTGGTATAGGCAAAGATGGCAGGTGGTTGGGATGAGCAGGACTATCTCTGCCAGAGCAGCAAGGAGTTAGATGGACTTAGCCATACAGTCACATAGCACGCCTATGGCCTATCCCATGCTTCAGATACTGCCCTGACAGTCATCCCCCCTGGTAATTTCCTGCCCCTCCGGAGGTGATTCCCAGGTGGCTGGGACACCCTCTGCATGTTCATCTTCCTACAAGGAGGCTCAGTGGAGCCCAGGCAGTGCTCTGGACGTGGTCCGTGCTCAGCAAGCGGTAGGTGTGCTTCTGAAGTTTCAGTCACTGCACCATCAATTTTTATTAATAACACGGCAAACTGAAAATCAGTTTGCTATCTCATGTAAGCTTGTACCAGGGTCTCTGTGCCTTTTGGCCCACTGCATGTTGCCCCATAAGAAAGTTGTGTTTAACAGGTTCCTTTTACATCTGAAGAACTGACAGTTAATGCTGCTACATCCCTAAGGAAATGGTGAGCTTGGATAGGTGTCACAGCATGCTCTGCATGGCTCACTTGCAGATCAGTTTTACAACAGCACTGGGAGTCACACTGCAACGAGAGGTGTAGTGGCAGGTCAGAAAAAAAAAAGTGTGACCACGCAGGGCTGGAGCAGCAGGGGAGGGCCGAGGTCCAGGAGTGGAGCTGTGCAGGGGGACTCTGCAGGTGACACAGCAGAGAGGCTGTGGGCCGGAGTGGAGGGGCTGTAGCATAAACAAGCTCTGTGGGAAGTTTCAAGCTGATGTAGCTGGATTAGGACAGAGCTGACTGAAATACACCCTGGAAGGCAGTACCATCCCACAGGTCAGGGTGGAAATGCAGGAACAGAGCTGGGACATGCAGCCTCATCTGATTCACAGTAGTCTTCTTCGCTCCTCATGTTCCTCTGCTTTTTGTTCCTCCCCATTAAACTCAACTAGGACATTGTGTCACCAGCTTGCAGGCTGGGCTGCAAACCAGGCAGGCTGCATGTGCCTTCAAACCATGGGAGGCCTTCCGAGAAGGCCCTGCCGTGGCAGCTGACAGCAGTGAATCTGCTTCATGCACACACAGCTGTCCAGATGTTTCACTCCTCCTCTACCAGAAACAGCAAGGCTGTCTGTGGGGAGAAGTGATTAACGTTTCTCCAGACGACGGCAGGACACGTTGGCAAGGTTGGGGCATGGCTGTCAGGCCTCCATCCATCCGGGCTCTGTCACAGATTGCTGTTGTGACACAGCAGCATGTGCGAGGGCATGCCAGATTTGTTCAGGGTCTCTGTTTTCAGGATAATGCAGTAGGCTGCTTTAGCTGAAAGCCAGCATACTGTGAGGACGAAGTGTATGGTCCTTACTGGATCCAAGCCATTGCCCAGTGACAGTGTGAAGGTCTCCTCTCTTCATGAGCTGTGTTAGTGGCGAAAAAGGCCAGAAGGTGGGCTCTGTGCTGAGCCACACAGGGCCAGCCACGCTCTCCAGAGCCCATCTCTCCTTACTGTGGCATGTTGTAAGGTAGGAAAAACCAAACCTGGGCAGATGTGCAGCTCAGGATAGCAGCAGAATATAAGAAATACAAGAAATTAGTTGAATCAGCTTCTCTTCTAGAAGTCTCTGCTGAGTTTGAGGCCATTCTTTCTTGCATTTAATACTTGCAGAGACTGCTTCTGACATCCAGTACAAAGACAGCTTCCACCATGGGTCAGTGTGTAGCATATATTCAGCAAGAGCAGGAATCAAAGAAGGTCATTGCAGTTAAAAAGATGTAATGATAGAGTTTATTTCTGAGGAGTGGCTGATGTTCCAGAAATATTTGAAAACAACTTATTTTATAAAATGAGTTATGGTGCTTTTAATGTAAATTAGAAGGCAAAATCAAAGGGCAAGGGGTGAATGATTATGATTTGGTATTTTGGTTTTTAATCTGTTTTTCAGCTGATTCTGCTCGCATATTGTGTCTGACCCGAGCTGAGCTGACGCAGCCTTTTCTGTTACTTTAGCAAGGTTCTTGACCCTGATACTGCGTCTAATTATGTTGGGTTCGTTGTTTGGGGAGCTGCCATCTAATCTGCTCCCTCTTGGTCCCTGCAGATCTTCCACATGACCTACGATCTGGCCAGTGCAGTGGTGCGGATTGTGAACCTGATTGGGATGATGCTACTGCTATGTCACTGGGATGGCTGCCTCCAGTTCCTTGTGCCTATGCTGCAGGACTTTCCTGACGATTGTTGGGTTTCCCTCAACCGCATGGTGGTAAGTGCTGGCCCCGCTTCCTCTCTTATGGCCCGAAACCCAGGCCCTTGGTCATAGCATCACCATTTCAGCACCAACCTCCCAGCACTAACACAGCATCCCCCGGCTTCCCATTCCCCCCACCTCCTTTTAGAGCCTTCCTCCGCTATCCAGCAGGCACTTGTAAAGCCACAGCACTGTGGGCATGGAGGCTCCTTGGAGGCAGTTTCTGCAACGAGACAGGCTGAGGGCTGCAGAGCAGGAACCAGCCCCAGCAGAGCCTGCTGCGGGCTGCCTGCAGCAGAAGGCAGGAGCCAGGCTCCCCCTCCTGGCAGGAAACAGCAAGGAGCAAGGATGGAAACGGTTTTCTGCTGGGATCTGGGCATACTGAGCCAAAGGCAGGAGGCAGAGGGGGTCCTAGAGCCATAGCTGGGTCTGGTCCATAATTCGCATTACTGGTCCCAAGGAAACTGTTAAGCCCTCTGCTCCATATCCACTCGAAGGGTGGGTGTGATCACCCACCCTTCTCCCTGCGGAGCTGCACAATATCCTGTTAGAGTGGCCTCAAACAGACTGCCAAGCCACAGTTTGGCGTCCTGTCGTGGGATCAGTAGCCAGACTTCCCAATAACGTCCCAAGCTGCTGCTGTTTGCTGTGAGGGAGATTTATGCCATATGGTAAATGCACGGAGAGTTCATGGTACCTTTCAACCATCTGACTGAGAATTCGGGATCTTTTATTCAAAGGGACAATGTCCAGTTGATTCAGCAGCAAAAACTGACAAAGCTTAAAAAATTGCCTTGTATTGCAGCTCTTAACCTCCAGATTCCCCCAGCCAATTTCTTCTGTAAAAAAAAAAAATGTCAGGCACTCGGGCAGAACAGAACAAATGTAAAATGTATAAAAGGACTGCCAACTTCCCATGCCTCCCACATGCGGAGCTATGGGCACATGCTGCCCATGCCTAGGAAGAGTGAGCATCCATGAAAAAGTCATCTGTTTGGTGTTTATTTATTCATTTCTTCCCTCTGCAATAATCATTCACTTCCTGCTGTTGAAAGGTGTCACACTGACAGTTATGGAGACTAGAACCCTTTATTTATCTACAGCAAAAGAACAACCCATGCAGCAGCTGCCTTATCCTCCCCCATGCTGCCTTTTTATTATTTATGTGGCAGGAGAAATGAAAGATCAGTGCTCCATTGTGCTTGTGCTATTCAGGTTCAAAAGGACATACAGCTCCTCGTCCTGGGGAGCTCAGAGGTGCAGACAGAAATCATCCCCATCCGATGAAGTGACTTGGCCATGGTGCCCTTGCAGGATAGCTTCAGAGCAGCAGATCTGAACCATGTTTCCTTTATCCTAACATTTGGGTGGAGGCTGCTGTCTGATAGCAACAACTTCCATTTGTTTCTCCCATCCAACCCTGGGGGAAGAGGCAAAAGCTAGGGTTGCAGAGTTACAAGTGTGAGTAGCACACTTGACTCAAAGGCCAGCGGATGAGAGCTGCAACACAAGCTGCAAAGTGACCTGAAGAGTCAAAACACCGGGTCTGCTGGTAACTGGTGCATGGAAAACCTTTGCAGAAGGCAATAGCTCGCAATGGCAGACACACATGGTGAGAGGAAGAGTAATCCAGTGCTGGAGCACTGACTGAAAGTGGGACACCTGGGTTCAGTTCCCAACTCTGTTCTGTGTGATCCCAGGCAAGTCAGATGGGAGGCTCAGAGAGTTCTCCTTCCCCAGATGATTCTGAGGAGTAAATAGTAAATAGTGTAATGGCAGGTATCTAAAATAGTCTGAGAGACCTGGGGTTGTACTGACTAGGTTGCACAAATGCATGGCACAAGCTAATGCAAATTGCCTTTCGGATACTTTTCTCTCAGAGGCTGTAAAGCCAGAAATCCAATTCTGTAACCCAGTGGAACGACGAGCCGCAAACTTATTAGGATCAGAGCCTGATGAGGAAGGAAACAAAGCTAAATTTATATAATCTAGAAAAAGAGTTACCTGGGCCAGACTATGACCAGGGCCTATAAAAGACCATCAAGGTAACTGTGTAGTGAAGGGATAGGGTCTTGAAAAGTGGCAGGAGACAGGACAGAGGAAAAAAAGATTTAGCCTGGGCACCTTTCTTAGCAGCAAGACTGAAGCAAGGGGCGAAGGATGCATTCCAGAGGCAGAAGGGCTCAGCAGAGTCTTCAGGAGGGGCAGGGTAGAAAGTTTCTATCCAAAGCAGAGCTTTACCAGGCAAGGACTCATGCTGCAGTACTTTTCTTCTGAGCCTTGAGAGCCTGTGAAGCTGGGAATTAAACTTGCCTTGTGTGATTTTTTCCACTTGTCCTCTGCAGCTAAATCACCTTCACTTTTTCCACTTAATAGAAGTGAAAAAAAAAATTATCGTAGTGACTGTGTCAAAAATGGAGCGTCAGGAAACTGCGATGAAGATCTGGGGAGGTGGTTATATGCCCCACCTATAGTTCAGGTGGCTTCCACTCCAGAAGCTGTACAGGAATATGCCAGCCCTAAAATAGCTTGGGTTAGAACATTTAACAAAGAGAATAATTAGTTCTTCTGGAATCAGATATTTTCTTCTCACAGTAAGGTTCTGTCCTCTAATCTCCTGAGAAGATTTCCAGATGTGTCACTGGGACCAGTGTTGGATGTGAATGGCATGATTAGTGCAATAATTTACGTATAGTCTATAGTGAAGTAATAGGAGAGGCCACTGAGCCAGGAAACAAGAAGAAACTGGTGGTCTGGGTTGTTCTCAGGCTTTGGTGCTGAGATCTTGATAGTAGCTTCCAGAATGGCTCTGTCTGAGAGCTGTGATGGACAGGGTTGGGAGGTGGGAGGCCAAGATGGCCTCTGTGACAGAGAGTTGGTAGGTTGGATTTTGGGACATTCTGTACTGACCTGGTCACAGCTTTGAGGAGATAAATATACTTGGTGCACAACTGCCCTGATTACACACAGGAGCCGAAAAGCTGGGATGGAACCAGTGCAGGAAAAAAGGAATCTTCTGAAGCTGCTAACAGCCAAGGGGAGCTGAAAGTGAGGTGCCAAATGCTTTAGAGGCTTTCTCCTTGCGTATGGAGGTGCTGCTTTTACACCACTACAGAATTTCCCACCTAGCCACCTGGCAGTCCGTAAAGCCAGCTCTGATTCTGGCACAGCAGGGAAAGAAGATTCATCACCTCCCGTCTGCTTCCTAAAGGTTTGATCCTCTTCCAGGAGATTTGTGAAGGGTCTGGTGTTGCTGGAGTCATAACAGGGGCACTCAATAAATCCCTGGGTCCAGTTCATCTTGGTGTTTTCTACATGCACCATGTTTCATCTTCAGCAATTGTAGGAGGACTGAGTCTCTGTATGTCCTCTTTCTGAACTGGCTCTGAAATGGCAGGGAAGGATGTTTTCAGTATTAATTACTCAGCTCCAATCTCAGGGCCTTCAGCATTAGCTTCTCTACAGGGCACTTCATTAAAAAGAGAAACATTAGTGAGTCAGCTGCAGAGCAGCATGTGTGCAGGCAGCAGCAGCTCCCCAAGACCCTTGCCTGGCAGCTCCTCATCAGAGAAATCGGAGCTCTGCTAAGACCTGAAAGCTGCTGGAAACACGTGGCTCACTCCCTTGGGTATTGTGCTGAACTGATAAACCCTGCAGGAAAGGCAAATATCCCCACGTCAAATGCAGCGACCTTGCATATGAAATACTAATTGTCTTCCCTTCTACCAAAAGAAGAAGAGCAGCTTTCCTTTTGAGCTTAAACACCCCTCCCTGCCCTCCAGCACATTCTTGCAGTGTTGCTGATAGAAAGGAGGAAGAGAGATGAATGCAGCATGTGTTGTGGAAGACAGACCAATCCTGCATAGATCTCCTGTGTGATTCCTAACTCCTCCCAAGGCTCTGGTCCAGCAGATCCCTCCTACCCTCACTCAGCAGGCATATGAAGCCATGTAGTAGAGTATAATGTTTTATAAAATCTGTCAGGGAGCAGCAAGAGTAGGGCTGCTCCATGATGGGATGTGAGCCAGGAGCCAGGGGTGACCCCTGCACAGGCGGTGCCCTTGCCACCTAGGGCACAGTCCTGCCAGTCCGAAAGAGGGTGGGCAGAGCAGAAGTGGTGATACCAGGGTCCGTTGACCATTCCAGTGAAGGCTGGGTGACAGCCATGTCCAGGGTCTGCCCAGGGAGTCCAGTTAGGAGCAGCAAGAGTTGAGGCCAGAGGCAAGGCTGGAAACATGGCTAAAGCATGTGTTCAGGGCCCAGGGCTGGGCACACGGACAGCTAGCTCAGGCAAGGTCTGAGCGCCCAGGCCTGCGCTGAAATGGAGCTCCAGGAACAATGGGTGCATCTCAGAGTCCTGAGAAAAGCTATTCTGTTAGGTGAAGGCCATGCAAAGCTCCTCTTGGAAATAAGCCCAGAACAGGCAGGTTCTGTCCAATGTGAAGTCTGGCCTACTGCCTCAATTTCTTGTCCCGCTATTCCCTTCCTTTAAGCTGGATCTGAAGGTTTGTTTTCCCGGCCGAGCACTTACAGTGTTGTCCAGGTGAGGGCAATGATGTTCCGAGGCCTTATTTTGCATCTTTATGTAAGTGATGTGCAGTAGCAAACACCATGTAACAACTCTGTGGGCAGAGAAGATCACTGCTGAGACAAATGTGGGAGTTCGCAAGACTGCAGTATGCCCTTTCACTACAGACAGCTCCTTCATACTGTGGAATGTTAGTGGTGTAAGTCGGGCTTAACATTGTGCCTGTGGACTACACCCCTACCCCAAGAATTTACCAGTACTTCTCTGTGTCTTTACTTCTCTCTTTCTAGTCTTCTCCTGTGAGTGTTCAACCAAGTACACTCACATGTACATCAGACCCAGAACATCCTACAAGACACCATACTGTTTCTTTAGGTGCTTCTGTAAGGTACTGCAGAACCCAACACTGCCTTTGGAGAGTTCCAGGAATGTGTCTCCAAGTATTCAAGGGTGGATCTGAGCAGAGGCACTGCAGTCCAGACACTAATGCCAGAGAAACCCTTATAGTCCTGCCAGTGTGGATGTTAAGAACATTCTAGTCTGAGAAACTGCTTCAAAGTAATTTTACCTCTCTTTTGCAAATGCTTAGTGCCTGGCACGTGTCTGATATAACATCCCTCTTGACTATGTTCAAGCACAGATCTGTAGCTCCATTTTAGCTTGCTTTGAGATTTGGTTAACAAGGAGTTATTTTCTTTCTGCAGTTTAAGGCCTCATTTACCTACCGTAATGGACCATTTTAGCCACTCAGGTCTATCTCAAGTAGTACAACCCTCCCACCATGGGGCCTGGCATAGTGGTACACTGAGTATAGGGGCATGGCTGTTATGGAAACAAGCCATAGCAGTGTAAGGCACCGTGATGCCAGTGAACTTGTGTCCACAGTACATTTGAAACCAACATACTAGTCTCGCTTAAAGGACTACATTCTTGACCTGCCTGCTCATTCTGTGGAAGATAAACTGTGTAGAGTAGGCCTAAAAACTAAAGATATACTGAGATCTATAAGCAAAGAGTCATCACGTAGACTGTGCCATGAGGATCCAGTGTTCTTTACAGATGCTCAAAGAGGTCAGAGATTGTTTCCTAAAGGTAGTTGCTCTGAAGGGTTTCCCCTTCATGGTAGTGCCTCTCTTTCAGCAGTCCTTGATCTCTTCTCCCAGCAGACCACATTGTTCAGGATTTTTTTGTAAACACTCCGTGTTTTCCTCCAGCTCTCACCCCTCAGTCTGTCATTACTCAGCGATCTCCTCAGTCTGGCATGAAGCAGGCTGTCCTCACAGGGAGCTGTGCTGCTGATGGGAATTGGGGTTGTGACTTGTAAGTGTAGAGTTCCCAGGGAGCCAGAAGTGTTTCTGCAGGCTACAGGAGCTCAGTGATGTTGGATGGTGTAGTTTTGGATGACTAATTCCTACAAAACACTACCAAGCTTCTTTGTACACAGCACTCCTGAGCAGCAAGTTGCTGGAAGAAAGGCTTTTAAAACTTGAACCTGCCTGATACCCAGATGGTCCTCTTAGGCTCTGATCATTCGTGGCCATTAAAGACCCTGGCAGCCAGTTTCGTGGTGTATCAGATTCCAGCTCACCTGTTCTTACTCTGTCTCCCCAAATTCCCTTTGGAATTTCAGCTCAGCATTTCTTTTCTCACTGCTCTCAATTCTGTTGTGGAGATGTGCTGCCCTGTTAAACTACTGCCACACTGAACTCAGAAGGCACCAGTTTTTTAGCAGTGTCCATTAAGAAATGCCTGCACGAGAAAGGAACTCATTTGACAAGAAAGGGATGGGACAGGACACCACGCTACTGCCTCTGCCCCAGTAACGCTGTGAATGTGCTGCCAACCTTTACAGGTGATGCGCCATTTTAGGCAAAGATTGGTCAAATGTGACTGCTCCTGGCTGTTGTCTCAGGATGACAACTTCGCTGCTGAAGCATGGACAATAGAGGGGCTAAAGCCATAGAGTTTACAGCATTTGCTGTTCAGTGAGTGCAGGGGCCATGGCTTTATGACTGCTGGTACTACAGGGCTGAGGGAAAGGGACTATGGTTCCTGGAAATGCTAACAGTGAAGATGCAGGGATGCCTGTGTAAGGTTTGTGAGATGCTTGGTGCCTTCACAGATCAGAAATGGGTCTGCAAAATGAGACAAAATAGTGGAAATATGGGCTCCCCCCAGTTCGTTGGCCAGGACTCTAGGAGCCACAGCGTAGACATGGGTGAGGCAAAGGAGAAACCATATTCACTCCTTTGGTGCTTACACCTCGGGCAGCCCCCGTGGTTGAACCTTTCCTGTTGCCCTGTGGAGCCATCAGAGTGCAAATGCTCTTTGCCATCATCTGTAGCTGCCTCCCCTTTGGGCTGCGGCTCCTCACACACTGGCAAGCCAACTGGGTAGCCAGGAACAGAGACACCAATGGCCACATTGTCTCTTGTCTCTCTCTGTTGACTCAAGGGTCATTTTTTCCAGTGCAGGAGATGAACAGGTTCCTGCTTTGTTAGGGAGGTGAGCCCAGACAGGCTGGCGCTGGCGGGGGGCAGTCTCTTCTGGGCTGTGAATGTGCTACTTCTTCTGTGTTCGCTTCGCTGTCACTTCTGTTGCTTTGCCCTTCTTGTTGCAGTGTGAATCGGACCTGTCTTGCATAATGTAACTGAATATGACCGGAGTAATGCTATCGCCTGTCTTTGTCCATGTGCTTATCTCTTAACCAAGCATTAACACTCTCCTGAGGTTCCAGCTCACAAACAGCAACAGTACACTTTGCTTCTGTTTACTGCTTGTAAGCTTACTGACAAATTTCCATCAACATTAGTGACACTCAGAGAGCTGTTTGAAGAGAGGTCATCAGCCATCCACCTGACTGTGATTAGATCCATCTGAGGAGATGTCCAGTAAACTGTGGAGCACCCAGCATTACTGGTTACTGGTGCTAAGGCACCAGGCCTTCTGTACAGTGGCCTTCGAAGTTGCCTTGGTGCATGTATCTGCACAGCTATATCCATAAAGTTAACACCTTCCGAGGAACAGAAAGAAGACTGATGAATGTACAGATTATGTGCTGCGATGAATGTCACTGTAGCAGAGGTATTTTTTCACAGACCTTGTAATAGCAGTGTGTGATGACAGTGCATTTACTTTACAAGGTTTTGTAGCAAGGACTTGCTAGCATATAATACCCACAGGATAGTAAATGTACCTTGAGCTGTTCCATGAACTCAGGCTTATCAGAATAGTCATGAAACTTATGCTGATTTTGCTCCCTATCCTATGATGTAATTGCTGAGGTGTGTCTTGTGTTGGTTGCAGTGGAAAAGCATAGAGTGTCCGAAAAAAGCCGTTGACTTCAGCTGGCTTCTCATGGTGGTTTATTGCATCTCTCCAGTGAGACCATTTGTAGTTTTCTCAGTTGCCTGAAAAAAAAACCAGTTTTACACTGGGAAGAACTTGCTGTCTGGACATTATCATCTTAATTTTCCGCCCTTCCCATCTCTTTAGGTAATGACCAGAGATCCTGACCATTTCCTAAATTACTGGGGAGTGATTTAGTGATTTTCCCCACTCTAAGATCTTGCTGCTGGCAACTGTGCTCAGGCTGTCTTTTACCAGTTCTCTGTTAAAGTCCATTTCCCAATGAAGTAATCATTTGTTTCAGTTCCTTCTCCCACACATGGGTCATTTTGAAAATATCCCAATGCATCATCTCAGTTTATCCTAGGTTACCAGTGTGTCAGACTGTCTGGCTTCCTTTCTGGAAAAGTTTTTCTGGAAAGAATACATGGAATCTTTAAAAACCCTGACCAAATCAGTTAATGGCAGATGACTAAATTTGGGCTTTTTTAAAAAAATTCAGTGTGCCCAGAACTTCCAAGCCATCAGACAATTAAATTGCTTGTTTAAGATACAGAGGTGCTTTAAACGTGGACTTTGGGGTCTAATGTTAGGTATCCTTTTCTGAAATGTGTTCATCTCAGAGAATGTCTTGTCCCACTGCTAAAGCTATGTCTGTCTATCTGTCTCTTCAGAATGACTCCTGGGGGAAGCAGTATTCCTATGCGCTGTTCAAGGCAATGAGTCACATGCTCTGCATTGGGTATGGGCAGCAGGCGCCCGTTGGCATGTCAGATGTGTGGCTCACTATGCTGAGCATGATTGTCGGTGCCACCTGTTATGCCATGTTCATCGGCCATGCCACAGCCCTAATCCAGTCTCTGGACTCCTCACGGCGTCAGTACCAGGAGAAGGTAAGGACTGGGCTTTGCAACTGTTCTGTGACCCAGGGGTGGTTTATGCACTGTCTGGAGGAAGCCAGGGCTGTGAGTGACCCATGTGAGAGGCCAAAGGTACAGTGTCTTTGTCACCAAGGCAGTTTATTGGTAATTCGTAGCCATCCATTCACTCAAACAGACCCTCAGGAGGAAATAAATGCAAGATCAGATGAAGAATAGTAGGGCAAACGGGTAATTCTCGTTGTCTCTGTCTTTTTAGATCAACATCATCAGTGTTACTGGTATCTAAAATTTTAAGTCACTTTTTGCTTTCCAGGATCTTGTTTCAAATCCCAAGTGAATGTTCCGGAATGTGCAGCTTTTGTTTAGCAAGTACTTTCTTTAAAAGTGTCCAGGTTATTCACTTCAGTCCTTGTGAGAGAAACTACCTAACAAGCCCGAAAGCACAGATCAAAGCTCAGGAGCACTGAACAGGTTCCCCAGGTAGCTATCGAATTAATTGCACAGTTGTTGAATTGCATAATGTAGGGCACACACTGATCAGGTTACCACTGCAGCGGCAGGCACCCCCAGCAGCAGCAGCCACTGGTGGTGGTGGGTTGAAGGCCATGCTGTGAATTTGTAAGATGGTAAGGGGCAAACAGGATCAGTCACCTTGATTCAGCCAATGAAGGGTAAGTCATGGAACTGCATTGATTCCTTCCCTGTTTCCATGCCTGCATTATATTGCTGTCTGCAAAATGGCATTTTGTTATCTAAAGCAAAGGGGCTGCTGGTGCAATGATACTTTTCCCTCTGGGATATAGGCAGGCAAAATTTCTGCCTTCAACGTCGGGTTGAATGAGTAGGCCTGCACCTCCACAGAACAGGAGAGCTAATTGAAGAGTGACTGTGTATAACTAAGAGCAAGGGCCTGGGAAGCTCAGAGGTGAGGAAGGGACTTCACCACAAAGTAGGTTACTCTCAAGCATCAACAAAAGCAACTGCCCTCAGTTAGTAGGGCTGAAGGTAGCATAGGCAAGAAGGTATTATGGTCAGGGTCTTATGGATACATTTGATCTGAAGATTAAGAAGAGGGAGAATTGGTTGCTAGCCATATTCTGACCCTGCCAGGTGCAGTTAGATTAGGTGAAAGGGTAGCTGTTATGCAAGTGAGTAAACTATGGCTAGCATGCACAGGCTAGGTGAATTTTAAGCTCAGGAGGGAGGTGGGAGAAAGGATTTGTTAAATGGCCTAGGAACAGGTTTGAGACACAGGGATTACAACGCTGGGCCACCCAAAGAGAGTAGGGCAGAGAGTGAAAGCAAAGAAGACCAGAGGCTGAATCATGCTTTGAGGATAGGGAAGATCTGAAACCACAGCTAGAGCTAAAAGAGGGAAAAAGCCCGGGAGAAGAAGCGTGGAGGCCTGGGATGCAATTAGACCTCTGGGCTTTATATAGAGTTTTACCACTCTGTTACAGACTGGTGGGACTAATTCTAATTCAGAGTATGGCATGCCAAAGAGAAGGACACTGCAGCACTAGGAATGTAAGCTGATCAAATCTGTGTATGCGGAGTATTTATTCAAATGTGTTTGAAGTATCATAGAAGTCAAGGGCTGATTTGCAAATCCAACCACCTGGTCAGCCTAGTTGCAGCCAAATTTACACCTGCAGGACTGGGCACTAATATTTTATTCTGAAGCCAGGACTGAAGACAAGGGCAGAACTTGACCCTGGAAGTTGAATTCCAGTCAGTGCTCAGGGAAACCAGGCACGAGTAAACAAGCAGGGACTTTGGTGGGGGTGGCAGAAGAAGTGTGAGATGTTAAAGTATTATTAGAATGTGGACATGTGAACGAGAGGGTTAACAGATCCAGGAGAAAAGCTTTGTGACAAAAGGAGCAGGTAGAGGATTTAACAAGGGGTGTATTTCATGTGTATTTGTTATGGCAGGTTAATTTCCCAAGGTATTCTCCTAGGATTAAAGCCTCAGGGATTGAGTACATTAATTTTCCTCTTGCAAATGGAACAAATGATGGCCTAAAACTAAATATGTATTTACTTTCTGCATTCCTTAGCACTTGAATAGCCATGATTAAAATGAGGCTGCTTCATGATTTGCAGCCCTGCAACTCAATTTAGTTCAGTCCTCATGGGACAATGTGTCTGTTGAAGCATATTATAAGCAAAGAATCTCCACAAGTTTGGAGGTCGATTGGTAGAAGCAGACAGCAGTTTAGAGACCTCTGCTGAGTACACCTTCGGGCTGCAAACAGGCCTCTGCCTCTCACCTCAGCAGAGGCTCAGGCTGCAGAGACTTTAGCAGCTGTTCTGAGAGTAGCCAAAGAAAGGGGAGACAGTAGGGAGAGGAATAGCAGAAATAACCTAGTAACAAGACAGAAGGTTATAGCCAGTAACTGTACTGACAGGACAAGGTTCATATGTGAGTTTGTGGTGAAGTTTCAGATGGCCTAGATCTCTGCCAAACCAACTTGTTCTTGCCCTGTACAAACAGGGCTTTTGAGAAGAGGAATAAAAGCCAATATGTGCTGTCTGTTGGCTTCGGTAGCAGCCTTGTCTCACTCTGGGTTGGATTCGTTGAACATTTGGACAGTCAATCCCTGTCCTGTCTCAATCTCTTCCTGTAGCATCTGATTTCATGCTATGCTGGTTTCTGCAAGGCAGGGAAGCTGTATACGATGGTGTGGAAGGAAGCATGAAGAATTTGGAGAAGGAAGTTGCACCCTTCAAGACGTGGTTAGTGTCAAGGTTTCTGAGTACAAGTGGAGAGTCCCATGTGGGACAGAGCACTCACACCAGCTCAGGCACTGGAACTGGCACAGCCATCATGTAAGTTTGGCTCTGTGCCTCCCTTAAAAAGCTCTGAATCAGAGTAGCTCTTTGGATCTGGCACTCTGAAGTGACTGTTTTATTTCCAGTCCCAAAGGCAAAGTTAAAAGGGGCCTGTCTGTCCCATCTTGCATTGCAGAGTGTGTTATGCCCTAAGTTACTTGCTCATGGTCACGGAGAATGTCAGCAGCAGGATCAGGAGCCGACTCTTATCTTTTAACCTTGGTCTGGTGCCTAACTCCAAAATATCTTTGCACCCAAGATTGGTGTCTATTTTCTACATGTGAGAAAATATTACTACAAGTCCATCCTGAAGGATTCTGATAGAAAAATTTCCCAACATCATGCTGTGCAGTTACGTATTAGAACTGAATTGATCTGACAGCTCTGACCAAAGAGGGGAAGCTGCACATATCCGTTCTCACCCAGTGCTCCCTGCCACTGTTACCAACTGCACTGTTTCACTCTTGTACACCACCTTTCATAATGCTCAGACCTTTACTGAGCTGATTTCTTTCTTCCAGGTTAATTTTCTGCCAGATTAGTGGGTTGAATTAGCCCACTGTAGATTCCACTGAGTGCCAGAGCTGGCACAGGGTGGTGGTGGAGGAGGTCCACAAGCAAGGGCAGAAGCCCAAGGCCCTTTTCAGCTATTCATGGATCAGCACAAGCCTTAACATGTAGGTTCATTGTTGACTGCAAAATTACCTCACAACCTGTAGTAACTGTGGCTCACAAGAGAGGAAGAGTGTTTCCTGCTCAGGAGATGAATAAACTAGACTGATAGGCAAGTTATTTTCATTCATTTTGCAGGTTCCTCTATTAATTTCTTTCTCTAATCCTAAAGCTCAGCTGGATTAATATTTATGTCAAGTCACCACTCACATGCACTCATCCTCCCCAGCAGACTCTGTAACCTTGAGGCTTTTGGGAGCGGTGATTATGCTGCTTACTGCAGCCATGCTCCTTGGAACAAAGCAGAGACTTTGGGCTACACTCTCCCATCCCAGCAGGATGCAAGCAGTGATGGGCATCCTGCAGAGAGGCTCGGCTCTCCCGTGTTATCTTCTCAGGTACATACAGAAGAGTTGATTGATGAGAGCTAGAAGTTGCTGGTGTCAGCATTGCAGAGCCCAGCAAAACCATAATCTCTCTTTCCCAGAGGCTCATCTCTCTGCAAGATCTGTCTGCTACACTGGCATTCCGTCAAGCTCTCTGCGTTCAATCCCCTGCTACTCCTCCCCCCTGAACAACTACTATCTGAAATATCCAATGAATCCTGAACTATCCAATGAACCCTGAACTATCCAATGCCTTTTGTCCTTAAAATATATATTGAAACTGGGTAGATGCTTGCGTATGCACTTGTCATTATTCTGAAGAAGCACCTGCTGCAGCACAGTTGCAAGGGATCAAGCAGGTAACACTAAAGAGAGAATCCCTTTGAAAATCATACAGAAGCACTAATGACATCACCTCTCAGCTCCTGAAACAGCCCTGCTTAACCATCAGCACAGTCCGTCTTGCAACAGTTTTATCCCATGGTCTGGCTATCCAAGCAAAAAGGTGCTTTACTGTCCAACTATCAACATTTCAGCTCTTCTGTCATCAGCCTGAATTCAACAAAGAGTAACTGGGGAAAAATTCGGAATTGTAAAGGCTGAAGCATGATAACTGGAACGTGGCCTCTCAGTTCGAGGACAAAGCAGGTGTTAGACCAAAATTCATTAGAGGGGAAGTGCGACCCTACCATTGTGCCTGCCTACTACAAGGAGAGCTAAGAATCTGTCTTCTGGGCTTAGTCCTTGCCCTTTCTTGGAGACCAGCATATTAGACAACAGGTTTAAGGAGTCATTTGGGGGTTTTTATGATACGTAATTAAACTGGAGAACTCACAGCTACAGGATGCTGCAGAGGTCCAAATTTTGATTAACCTCAGAATGTTTAGACAAATTCACATAAGGAAAATCTTCCAAGTGTTATTGAATGCTAAGATGCAGGTACAACCCCTGGCAGTGGGTATCCCTAACCTGCTCTTGTCAGAAAAGCTAGGAGGATATGGCCAGGAGCTGGATTGCTGTGTGCCTCTTTTATTCTTTCTCCTCTTCCTCAAAGTACCTGAAACTGTCAGAGACACACATCAGGTGAGAGGAGCCCTCAGCCTGACTTTTTATGTCTGCC